CTCCTAACAGTTGAGCTACGAGCTCACGGTCTAGCTGGTAGTAGATTGGGAAAATACAGTGGCATAGATACGTATACCGATTTATACTATACCGTCGCTATGCTACTGCATACCCATGAAAATTAACACGCCCCCCTCCCCCATTTATCGAGGATGACTGCCTGCTTGTGTGCTAATTGCTCGATGGTCGGCGTGCCAGTCGTGACCTGCTGAACTTTCATCAATCTTGGTGGAATTGGACCTGATAATTGCTCTACAATCTGGTTCCCTGGCGCTGGCGTTAGAAGGTGCGTTCACAGTGGCGAATTGCTTCAGCCAAACCGAGCCTCAGCACGGGTGCTCAGAAAAGATAGGTACCCGTGTAAAACTCGTCAACCCGTGTATACGCAAATAAGACGAGCGACAAAATCACACCGATGCCAACCTTTAGCGAGCAGTTCCGTACGTCATAAACGTCTCGGAGGCCATCGGCCGCCTTCTCGCACCCCTTGGAATTGGAGTCGCACATACCACCCGCAACAGAGGTGGCTTTGCCTCAAAATACCCATAAATTGGGATCCTTTTTAATGGCAGAGCTCAGGTCAGAGTTGGAGGTCAGTGCAGAATTAATGTTGAATTAAGTTTTAACTGTAGTATCTGTGAGTCGATCGAATCTTCTTCTGTAGCATTAGTGTTAAGTTGGGTTTAGGATTAGTACTACGACTTAGGTGTATCTTACAGTTAGTGTTCGGATAGGGGAATACTGACACTTCCTGAAATAATGTGCAGGGCCATCTTTATTAATTAGGAGGACGTTCTTATTCCCGTGTTCGGTTTAAGTCATTCTTACCTAAAGCGGCTCGTGGGTTAATCACTGCTGTGCCATACTTGCAGCATTGGTGAGCTCGCCAATTGCGATGGTTGAAACCATTTCTATAAAGGAGAGCATTTAATTTAATCTTCTCATCTCAATAGTGAGCACAAGTTTGTGTTACGACGCCAATGTGTACTGCAAGCTGTCTGTTGGTAGTTTAGTTAATTTTGCGCAGTTACCTCGTCGTAACTGATGGACTTTGGCCCAAATATTCATATCGACTCGTCGTCTGTACCTTCAGACCATAGAATATACTGATTTATTCTAAAGGCGAGATGAACTTCTGGGAAAATTAAAAATCAACAGTGAACATTATGTCACCGTTACCATGGAATCGAGGAGTAATATCATGAGTTGTAGGGCAATTCTAATTTTCACCTGTCATTTAAACAGAAAATGAATACTATTTATTTACGATTTCTTTGAGGCTTGAGGTTTTGCCCCATCTCTTCGCCTACACTTCTTCAGAGGCCGCAGAGTCCTGAACACGCCTGTAACTATGCGGCGCATTTTATCTCCTGAGTGGTTTCCCAATGTCGATTTTTTGGCTATACCGTGCCCCCATTTCACCGTGATCTCTGAAATGCCCATCGTGATTGGCCGCAGCAATATTTCACGGCCCCGATTGTCTAACGCCCTCGTTGTTTTTAATGAAGATGGTTTTGAAACCCGGGCGGGTGGGGAGGGATGGGTTGGCGGTTGACTGAGCAGCCGGTGGACATCCATGTTCCCTGTACTTGTCAGTATCAGTTTATTGACGGAAAGATAGGCGAACGCCTTTCGAACGTACTATGACGTGTGATCATTACTTCGTGTTACAATGCCAACCCGATCTGCTTAGTCAATCCTTATCTTGTCTACTGATGCTCACGCATTCGAGCTTGTAGCCATCTTTAAGTTTCTCCGACGTAAGTACACTTCCCGCAGTAAAACTAGAGTAGGCAGAAAATGATCGACATACAAAAGGCGGTTTATCGGCCGCATCGCTCGCCAGACTATTATTGAGCCAGGCCTGTGAGCAAGTCTTACTCCAAATGGCGCGAACGATTTAGCTATGGCCCCAGACGCCACCTCTGTAATCAGAATGGCTTTTCATGAGATGGGTTAATTGAACTCTTTATTACGTCCACTCTTCTCAGGGTTACCTCTGAGAAAACCTCAAATGAGCTCCATGTCACCTGTGTTGGTAACTAGTGAAGTGCAATGCATTTTAACCAGCCTATGCGCACAGAACTTCGTTTTTGTTGTGTTGGGCCACCAGGGATGCAAAAAGAAGCACCACCAAGGATATGGTCTGCTCTGATGTACAGTAGGGCCGTTCCAGAGACGACTAAGGGCATTGCTGTGGAACTAGAAATGGGAATTTTCCACTGGCCCACAGATATCATGCGCAGGAGGGTGATGATAATCACAGAAGCCATCTGGGGTTATTTATTGCATCTCATGTCCGAACTGACGGCCCATGAGTTCCACTTTGCTTACGCCGGAAAAAAACGAAACGACAAGTAAGCGAAGCCTGGTCCTCGGATAGGAACTCGATCAACGAACACAGCGATCTGGCGCCGACATTTGTGTGTGTTCGACCATCAATTTCGATTAAGTCCACCAGGTGCACCAACAGGTTGTTGCAGAAGGTTACAGGCCTCAGGGGTAGATTATAAGCAAGGCAGAAGTATTTGGCGTCCACCCATTTCTTCACTTACGCCTGGGGTCAAAAAGACCAAACGGGACACGGCGTTGGCCGCTATCGCCAATGCAAGCCCGAAACACCGCCTAGCTTAGGCGTACGTGAGAGTAGACTTGGCGCGGCTACTACCTACTCTCACTCACCCTTAGTAGGTTTCAAGACATGCTCAAGGAGGTCGAGGCTAACACGGCTACTACTACTGACTAGCAATTTGGCCGAATTTTAGTAGTACCGGTACTATTTCTGAGGTGGCGCTGATTTGAAATCAGCCGCACTCTTCACCTTCACCCGGGATCAACGCATAATCGCAGGGTTTAGTCTTCCTATACTGCTACTATCTAGCAATTTAGCGGGGAGTTAGTAGTACTCTTACTATATCTGTCATATTGATGCTGATTTGGGTCAACGCTGAGGCTCATGTCCGCTTTATGCCGACTGGGAGTGTGAATCTGGACTTATGCTATTCCAAGTAATATATGTTTGATGTCTGAAGAACATCATGGTTGGCCTTTATGTTCGCGCTCTCACCTCTATCCACCAAAAGCTGTGTGCGATTTTACCACAAGGATTTCGATGACTAGGAAACTGCCGATAGATGTAGTATGTCAATGCCAAGACTGCAAATATTAGTAGCCATACCTATTAATAGCAATAAATTATATTGTACTGCAAATTCAATAGAAACAGTCCAATACTGGGGAGCCACGGTACTACTCACCTTTGGGGTGAGCTTTTATTTTGCGTGTGTCTGTGAAGACTAAGGGGAACTAACCGGCTTTATAACCTTACAGTCAAGCGTCTCAACTATCACGCCTTTAGCTGTGTCTTTTATCACACATGTAAACGCGAAGTCGAGATCTTAGTTTTTCGAGCGGTCTAGCTATCTGTGTCTACTACCACTACTAGTTCTATACTACTTATTAGCGATACATTTGAGCGATATTAGTACTATTATTGTCATTAATAATTAGTCA